CCTTCTCTGGATCCACTCCAGCACTTCAATGTCTCTCTTGTAGTGAGGGGCCCAGAACTCAACACAGGATTCAAGCTGCAGCCCCACCAGTGCCCAGTACAGGGGGATGATCACTGCCCTGCCCTGCTGGCCACATCATTGCTGATACAGGCCAGGATGGTGTTGGCCTTCTTGGCTATCTGGGCACAAGCTGCTCATGTTCAGCAGCATTGATCAACACCCCCAGGTCCTTTTCTACTGAGCAGCTTTCCAGCCACTCTTCCCCAAGCCTGTAGTGTGTCATGGGGTTGCTGTGGCCCAAATGCAGGACCCAGCATTTTACCTTGTTCAACCTCATATTACTGGCCACAGCCCATTGATCCAGCCTGTCGAAATCCCTTGAAGAGTACCAAGCCTTCCTGGACCCCTTTGTCCTTCAGTGATATTTCCCACGGAATTCTGCCAGTCAGCATCCTAAACAGGCCAAAGTCAGCCCTCCAGAAGTCTACGGTGAAGGTTTTGCTGCCTTTCTCCCTGACTTCTCCAAGGACTGAAAATTCAACCATTTCATGATTGCTCTGCCCAAGTGTTGTGGTTTAAACTCAGTCTGCGATGCAGTCTCTCTCTCACTCCCCCCTTCCTCACCCCCAACTCCCAGAGGAATGGGGAGGAGAATCAAAAGAATGTAACTTCCACGGGTTGAAATAAGAACAGTCCAGTAACTAAGGTATAACACAAATCACTGCTGCTGCCACCAATAATAATAATGATAAGGGAAATAACAAGGGAGGAGAATACAACCGCTCACTACCTGCCGACTGATACCCAGCCCGACCCCGGCAGTGATCTAACCCTTCCAGGTAACTGCCCCCAGTTTATATAGTGGGCATGACGTGCTGTGTTATGGAATACCTCTTTGGTCAGTTTGGGTCAGGTGTCCTGTCTCTGCTTCCTCCCGGCTTCCCCTCCTCCCTGGCAGAGCATGAGACTCAGAAAGTCCTTGGTCAGAGTAAACATTACTGACTAAGAACTAAAAACTCGGTGTTATCAGTGCTGTTCCCAGGCTGAAAGTCAAAACCACAGCACTGCACCAGCTACTAAGAAGGATGAAAATGACTGCTACTGCTGAATGCAGGACATCAAGACAGCCTCCAACCATCACATTACTCACCAGTCCTCTGTTGTGAACAGCAAAACTAGGCAGGCATCTCCCCTAGCTGGCTCACTAACCAGCTGGGTTAGGAAGTTATCTTCTGCACCCTCCAAGAACCTCCTGGATTGTTTCTTCTCTGCTGTGTTGCACTTCCAGCAGACATCTGGTAGGTTGAAGGGCATGAGAACAAGGGCAAGTGATCATGAAACTCTCTCAGTTGTATGAAGAACAGTTCGTCCGTAGCTTCATGCTGGCTAGGTGATCTGTAACAGACTCTACCAGGATATCAGCTTGGTTGGCCTTCCCCCTGATCTTCACCCACAAACGTTCAGCCTTCTCACTCACAACACTGAGTTGCAGGCAGTCAATGCACACCCTGATATACAGTGCAACCCCACCACCTCTTTTTCCTTGCCTATCCTTTCCGAAGAGCCTGTAGCCAAATGTTTCTGACAACCTGCTAATATCAAAAGGAAGTATGCCAGCCACAAGTGAGCCAGTGAGCCAGGGAATAGAGTAAATCCTGGCACAGAATGAGGCAACACAGGTGGGAAGGCGGAATGAAATTCCAAAACATTTCTGGGGCTTCTTCTAGTACGGCACCGTATACTTTAATGCAGTGCAGGAGAATATTTGAAGGGAATTTCAGCTGTTGTCCAACTGAAGAATGACAGGATCATAGGGAAATTCAGGACGGCTGGGACTTTGGGGGGTGAGCTATGAGGTCAAGACCAGGTTACTCAGGGATTTATCCACATCTTCTAATGATGAAGTGAGATGTTTTAGGCCACTGAGGAACTTTATCAGGATGCATCACACAACCTTCAACCCATTCTTTGGCCTTCTTTTCAAAACAGATTAAGCAAGAAAATTAGACAGTTTCTGTCGACTCCTCCAAATGAAATGAGTTTACTTTCAAGGGCTTTTACTTGACCATTACCAAGAATAAATGATGTCCTGGAGGCTTTAGCAGATTCACTGTCTCAATCTACCCTCAGTTTTCAAAAGTTGAGAGGTTTTTTTCCCCTCACACTTAGAATCATAGAATCATAGGATAGTTAGGGTTGGAAAGGACCGTAACATCATCAAGTTCCAACACCCCTGCCATGGGCAGGGACACCTCGCTCTAAACCATATCACCCAACCTGGCCTTGAACACTGCCAGGGATGAAGCATTCGCAACCTCCCTGGACAACCCATTCCAGTGCCTCACCACCCTAACAGGAAAGAATTTCCTCCTTATATCCAATCTAAGAAATTAATCCAATCTAAGAAACTTAAAATGTCTTGCTCACATAAAATCTGAGAGCAGTGTTTGAACTAAGGTTATCAGGTTGGACCAGTGTTCAAGATCAGAGTCCCACCATTCCACAGTGGTATGTGGACATCAAAAGAGTCAAGTCCTGAGTAGGTATGTACTGATCATGCCATACCCACGCAAATGCCAGCAAACAGCTGTGCAGTTGCATGTCTCGCAGGTACCAAGTCAAAGTGTTTTCAGATAACATTCCTTCCCCGCTACTGCACATGGCAAATAATGAAAAGATTCACAGATGATCTAAGGGAAGATTCAGGCCACCAAAGACACAGCTGAAATTAAACCCAAAGACACAAGTCAGTTCAAAAGGGGTTATTACTGCTTTCAGAGAATTAATTAATGTAATTTCTGCCCATAAAAGATAGCTGAAGATAAGCAGAGCCACTTATTCCCCTCTCCCCATCTATTCTGTGATCTCCCACACTCATTGCTCAGTACTTTTGTAGGGTTCTGCACTTCAGACAGAAGGTTTGTTCCTTGCTTTCCCAGTACCTCTTCATAGGTTGTGATAAAAGGGAATAATTTTAGAGATCAAGTTGAGAGTTTTAAGGATTGAAAAGGGCTCTTATGATTGCTTCTGCTCCAGCGTACCCATGTTTTACAGTCCCTTTCATTCAGAACTAAAATAACCTGAAAAGGTGGTCATATTCCCATTAGAATAAGGGTCTTGAGTTCTCTGTATGAAATTATTGTGCCACCCAAAAGGAATTCCTGGCAGTCATCAAATACAGAATATTTTCACCTGTATTTATTTGGGAGGAAATCTGTGGTCAGGACTGGCCTTGCTTCCCTATAATGGCTCTTTAGATTCAGGCATGCTGCAGGGTAGCTTGCCTAGGGTTTGGAAATACTGCACTGCCCTTATTTTATAATTACACATAGATCAGCACACAAGTGAGGTAAAACTGATGCCTTGTCCACAGGACCTTGTTGGGAAATGAACTGCAAACACTACTTTATCTCAAAGAGCTTGTTCAAGGAAGTTACTGCCATGCTAAAGAGATAGATACTACTGAAATTTCACAATTGGAAAAATACAGCTGTTTCCAAACCCTATATTGCCATACAGGATAGAAGGCAGTGCAAATGGATTGCCCAGTAAAAGAAATGGTCCCAGAGGCTCAGCACTGTTCTCTATGTCTGGGATCTTATGAAGTAGTTAAAAACTGAGGAACTCTGAAGCCAAAGCACTTCAGTGAGGTCTGATAAATCTAATAATCCACAAAACCTATACCTAACACAGTAGCACAGAGCAGATAGTAAAGACTTGATACTCACCTGGCTATCCAAGAACAGAACCAAAAGATTGAGAAGACATCCGAGCATTTGTAATTCATAGCACAGCAGACACTGGTAACATACACCAAAGAGCTCTGGTCTCCACCTCGCTATGTCTTAAATCTATATGACAACTCACAGGCTACAACTCACTTAAATCTATATGACAACTCACAGGCTACGATTAGAAGAAATCATGTTATTTACCAGAGAATCTGGAGTACTGGAAAGATACCGTGAGTTCATGGTATGCACCTTGCAAGTTGTGAGGACACAAACCTTGAAATTTTGGTCACCAACAATCCTCCAAAATTATCTCAGTTTGCCTTTTGCCCTCCCACCAGCATAGGCAGACTGAACCCTTGGATGTGTGTGATATAGCAGTGCCCTTATTGCTTGGTTCTCTTCCTTTTGTCAGCTGACTCTTTAGGAATCTGAAAGCAGGAAGAGAAGTTGTAAGAGCAGAAGGGGCAAACCTGGTGCCCAAGGGAGCTCCCAGTCTCTCTCTGCAACACAAATGCAAAGTATTAACCTTGCCCGCTGTATGACAAACTATACAAAGTGCATGTGTCTGGGGAACCGTGACTGACAGTCCTTTATGAAGGGCTGTGTTTGAAAATTTGTTCTGGGTGGTGACCTCTGCATTTCTGTAGCTTCATACTTGAACAGACGTCAATTCACAGGACAGGATCAAGGTTCTTTATGTTCTTAAGCGTGTATTTGGTTTTTGTTAGGCTGAAGGGTATGCCTAAGTATTGATCAGGACTTGAAAAATTCCTTATCTAGTTTTAAAGTATGCATCCTAAGAAGCATACACAGGTGGAAATCAGCTGGGAAACATACAAAAATGATGACTTCTTTAATACAGTGGCAAGGTTAGCAATGAAGCCTTAGAGAAGCAAGGCATCCTGAAAACAGTGCATCTTCAACAGGAGTGAAACAGATGAGGTAGTGGAACATCTCACACTTATTCAATCCCACTGCAAGCACAAAAGGCTTCAAAATGGCAAAAAGCAGAAGAAAATGAGTGCAGGCTCTTGTCTTATGGAAAGATGAAATTAGACCCTCTCCCCCACAACCTGGTGCAGTGTCACAGCCATGCAGGCTGGACTCTCCCCCCAACCAAACGGCTGACCCCAGCTAATACACGTAAGGTTCTGACTTTGCTTGCACGGCCACTGCTAATTTTATAACTACAAGAATCAATTTTACAAATGCCTGACTCATTTCAGCTGACAGGTTATGTATGATTAATAAGCAACATCAGAAAAACATGTTTAATAGTTTAATGCCTTTAAGCACAATGCAAAACTGTTTAATGATACAAATTAAAACTGCTGTAAGATCTCTGTAACTATACATTTTAAAAATTTAAATTACCTTACTTTGATCATTTGAGATCTAATGCTGAAAGATACTGGACACCTCTTAAAAGTTCTGTGCTTGACTTCAACTTCTAAGTAATTAGGAGACTTTGAGGACAGTTTCATATTCTACAAGCACAGAGGCAGAACTTGGCAAACAGCAATGTTACAAAACAAACTCATTTGAAAAATAAACTCTACAGAAACCCAAAATATCATTAGCAAATCCAAGCATTAAAATAGAAGCCTGAATCTTAAAAAGAATATAAGGCTGAACCCTAAAATTTATGTGAACCATATTTAGCATTGCACCAGTAATAAAAATAACAGATTAGGCAAAATTCACTTCTTTTAAAATATTCTGAGGCTAGAGTGTACAAATAGAATTTGAAACTAAGTGAATTGACAACAACTTAGTTGCTTTTAGTGTGTTCAGGCATCCAGATTTGTTTACCTGTTTTGCTCCAAAATCCTAAATATAAATTAATTTGGAGACTCTTAATTTCCAAAGAACTCTTTTTCTTAGTCTGTGGAACGCGGCATTTAACATGTGATGCAAAGCAAGCAGCTGCCTTCTACTCACAAAATATAAAGTAAGCTGAGCACAACATTAAGAATTTGCTGATACTGTTCAAACGGTGCCAGATTACAAGTATTTTTACACAAGCACTTCACAAAATAGTAAGTCTAAACCTCTAACTCAAATGTATTTGTCACATTCCCAAAGGGTTAATATAGTCTTGCTTCATTTCTTACATGTAAGTAATTTAGCTCTGAACAAAAGCAGCTCCCTGCTGGTTACCTTGGCTAAAGGAAACACAATGAACTGGTAAAAACCAGTTTTATCTCACTGCCGTTGCCTAGGGCTACAGACAAAATGAAGTAAAAAAATTCACATGCAGAGTATTAGGTGCTTATGAAAGATCCAGCAGCGCTGTTGCCTAGTGATTCAACGAGGAATCAGCATAGGCCAATGAGGTGTACGGGTGCTGAATAACATCCCCGATGACTGCTTTACATCTCCTGCAATTCTGTCATACACCCCCATGATTTCCCAGTGGTAAGAATCACTTTCAAGGGAACCTGTCAGAGAAAAAAAAACATGAAAATTTAAACAAACACACACATCACATATAGCGAGATTACTATTTTTGCTTTTCCCTTTGGATGTTGATACTGCTCTAGATTACATGCCTATCAATATGCCCTTCATACCTATTACTACTTAATTATCACTACAATTTTGATTAAAATACCTTAACAATTCAGCCTAACTTTCTATTTTGAAGTTGCAGATACATGTTACTGAATTGCACGGAATATGTTAAAGCAAAATTCATCTTCTTAAGTTTCTCAAAAGAGCCACAGAACCAGAGTGTTTATAAACAGAGTTTTGTCAGTAATGCATAAACATACTAGGGTTTTTTTAACATCCACTTTCCCAATTCTGGGGTATTTTTGTTGTTGCTTTGGTTTCATTTCAGTTTGTTTTGCAGTTACTGGTGCTCTGCTACACAGTAGATTTTCTGACATGAAAGCTGCCTCATTAGCAAGGACTATATTTTGGTAAAGAAACTACTTCAAAGATAAAGCATCCTTTTCCTCAAAGAAGAAAAAGAAATCTCTCCCCATTAAGACTATGTGTGTGCTCTACTTTAGTGACATTTTCCCCGTGTATTAATAAGTAATATTCATATTAACAGAGCACATAATACATATTTAGTTGAAGCAAGTGCACTGAAGGAGAGCAGGAACATTTCATGAAAATCTTTTCATCTCCAACATCTCTAATCCTAGAAGACATTTTTGCTGTAAACAACATGAATAAAAATACATATTTTTTTAAGATCACTCTCAGTTTTTTTCTTTGAGGCCAAGCTGTTGGTGCTTTATAATTTCTATCTGACATCTGCCATTGATCCATTCATGATGCTTCAGAGGATGGTGGAAGTATCTTCATGATGCATTTAGTCTTAGGTGCAGTAGGAGCAAAAGTATGCCATTTGCATACAGTAATTTGCTCAGGAAAAGGAGACCAAAACACGGGTAATAAAACATGTATTTCCAAATACTTCTACTGCCTATTAAAAAGTCCTCGTCTTTGAAGAGCCTACTGTCCAAGAATGTATTTCTGTTCACCTAGTAAAATGTAGTTGTTGTTTAACAGAGAATGACATACTGAATACATTTACTATTAATTTTCAAGATGAATTTGTCAGTGTGTGATAGTAAACACCTTAGAAGTGAAAAAGACTGTATTCTGAGATGGTGTGTCCCATTTTGTTCATAGGACATTAAAACCTCCTGCCATTAATGGCTTGTCTGAAATATATAACACCGAAATTATATCCTGTCCATGTAACCATCAACACTCTCATCAACCGTGTAAATTATTTGTCTTTCATAGAAACCCACTAAATTGTTCATACTTTATTTCATGGCAATGAGTTCCTTAGGCAAAGTAGGAACAATGTTTTCTCTGGCAAAGTCACCAAAAAGAGTCTCCTAAAACTGTCAAGGAAGGGCTGTAGTGTTGCTGTTCACCTTGTATGCTGTCAGCAATACCGTATTTGATTATTTTAATGAACCTTATAGCAGCATGCATGTCACGTTACTAATACTGTCATTAAAAACATTCAAAGGTACACCTTGAAATACAGTCTTGCTTTGTTTTTCAAGGAATTTGTAACTGAAGAAGTTAGGTAAGCACAAATATACAATGTAAGCAACCCATAGAAATGCAGTTTATAAAGCTTGGGAGCGTCAGTGCAAGCAATGTATAATCCCAGAGTGGCCAGGTCTCACTTGACCAAATCTGGTGAACAGTAGTACAAGTTCTCACAAGGCTTTATGGAACACTGAGAAGGGGATTCCAGCATGGGAAGAGTAGTTGAGATCTCCCTGATCATGAGGAATACTACTCATGATTCTCTCACAGCTATTGTGGGAAAGATGAGCTCCACAAGAACCCAGGAAATGTAACTGCAAGACCTCCACAGAAAGCATCAGAGTGGCTGAGATGCTGAAACAAATAGAAGATACAGAAGATCTGGAGGAAGAAATAGGAGCTAGAACTCAACAAGCAGTTTTATTTTTCATCCATTTCCATTAGTGCGAGTCTGTACGTTGCAATCATTTCTGAAATAAATACTTTTTTGTCCCCAAATCCCGTTCAGTAATAACACTGAATGAGTGAGCTGTCAACACCAAGAACTCAGTTTCTCAGGAAACTGGAAACCCTTGCACTGTTGCTCATTTAATAAGTTTAGGGATCCCCAGGAACTATAATCCTTTATTAAACAACAAAAGCTGAGAGGTAGGCTAGGGTGAAGGGTACAGTCTTGTGAGAGAAAAATAGAATTCTTTTATAAAATAAATACAATTAGGTCCAATACCCAGATACAGTAGTGTATAGCTAGCTAAGTTTTTACAGACTTTTTTTGGTAGATATCCTTAAAACACTGGCCAGTGACTTTGTCTGCTTTGTATTTTAGGCATACACATGGAAATGGTAAAAAGACCAATTTTCTAAGTGAAAATTACTGAAGAAAGATCTTTTGCAATAGTTTTTCAGCAGTAATGAATGCCTGGCACATTTAGAAAGCCTATTAAAGGCACATATTTCTCACTCTACCACACCCAGCAGAAATTTCATGGCAATGAAGGAAATAGAGTTTGAAATTACCATACTGCATTGCTAAGACAAGAGTAGATGACAATCACACTTTCCAAAATGGAGCTTGAGTTTCCTTCAGTTATTTTCTTTCAGAATTTTTATAGCCATTTAAAAATGCAATTGCCTTCAAATATGAAAATGAAACTATTGAAGTGAAAGGCAAAATCGTTGTCTCTAGTTTCTCAGTAGGATGATGACAACATACAGAGCTAAGTATGCCTCAGATGCTAATGGGAATTCAGAATTGCCCTTACCTTTAGTGGCACTTCCAAGGCTGTGGTTTGCTGCAGGGACTCCATTGTTCTTTTTACCAGTGCTGTAAGGTAAATTTGAAAAGCCTACAGCTTTATTTTCCATGATAGAATTGTTATACAGAAAAACAAATAAATCACATGGCTTATATTCTGTTATATAATATCTGCATTTCTACATTAAAAAAATCATTAACTGTTTACCATTTTTTCAGGGGTTTGTGTTTTTCTTTAAGTTCTATTTTATCTCTCATGGAGGTTCAATTCCCTATTTTAAATAGAATTTTAGGGTGAAGTTTTGGCAGTTACTTAGCTTATATAACCCATAAACAGACAACTCCAGCACTACTGTATTTTATACAGAGGTACAGCATGTGCAAGTGCTGTATTTCTCAGCTTTCAAGTTCAGTACTCTCAACTGTGTGTTTGGTGACATTTTATACATTTTCATCTTCTTGTGCAGACGTAAAACTCAATCTGAAAAAACCAAGCAAGGAAAAAAAGACTGGAAGTCTGAACTGTTGGGAATATCTTATTCATCAAAGTAAAAGATCAGAGCTAAATTTAAGAAAGGTCTTCACTGTGGGATAGCGGAGTGATCAAGAATCTAAACAATTAAACTTCAGTATGATTTATGCAACTTAACAACTCATCGCATCATAACACTATGCTCACTATTACTGTGCAAATGCATCTATAATTGTTCCAAATCAATCAGCTGGGATCAGATTTGTCATCCTTGGTCATGCCAATTAGTGTTTTACGTGACAATGTTTGTTGCTGCAACAGAATATTGTTCTAATATAAATCAGTGAGAGATTCAATGGATAAAGAGCTTTTAAAAAAAGGAATAACTTTCAGCGACTGAAAGTGAAATAGGAATACCAGGGAGCCCCAGAACAAAAGTTATTGAGCAACCTCCATTGCTCTGACAGGATGTCACCATGTGCCTCACAGAATTGAGAAGTATCAGAGTATGCAATACATGGTGATATGCAATACTGCTGGACTGAAAACCACATGAGTACTTAGAAGCTTTTTGGAAATTATCCCTCGATGCACACCACATTGCTTTTGCAGCTCAGGGTAGATGCAAAGGAGCAACAAGAAGCTGCCTATGATTGTTGCTCTGGCTGCCACTGAAACCTTTTCTAGTGATGCCATTAGAAATCTCTTCTAATGAAGAACAGTATGGAATGTTCTGTGTCACATCTGTGACACTGTGGCTGGCTTGATAACAATGATAAGGTTCTGCCTGAACAGAAGTGGAGTGCTCAGTGTGTTGGCTCACTCAGACTTGCATGCTAATGAGCTGTCATAAGATTTTCCATGAAGTCCAAATTATGCAGTAGCTGAAAAGATCAATGCCTGAAATGCCAAAGCTGAGGAAACAGAGATATTTGTTGACACAACATTACACCTATATATTTGTTTCATGTTAGACCTGAGGTAGTTTACGGTCCTGTATAAGACATAACATTGTTTTTGGGGAGCAGAAGCAAATATTGCAACCCAGACTGTGAAAGGGGAAGTGCTGGCCTAAATAATTATCCATTTAAAATGAAGTCCAAGTCAACATGGCTGTTAATAGAGGAGTGATGGACTGCTTCCATCTTGAGAAGCCCACTCTGAACTTAAACAAGCTGCCAACTCCAGGAGGTCAGCCATACAGCCAACACCAGGGCATTCCAACCAGGCATCATGCCTTCAGAAGGCAAAGGGATTGCCAGTCAGTCCCTGTGCAAGCATTTTTTCCAGGCTATGGCTGCACAAGGCTTTTATGAGAACATAAAATCTGGATTCTCTTCTTTTCATACAGAATTACTCAGATCTGTATGTTCCACCAAAGCACTTATGAAGGGCACACAACTGTGCAACTTAATGTTATTTGACCTGTTAGACAGCAAAACAGCAATAGAGCATCAGGCAATGGAAGAATAGGTCTTTTTGACATAAAGAGCTCCAACGGGCAACAAAAGATGGAGCACAAGTCAGTGGCATCAATTCATGGTTTGAAAGATATGAGTGGTATGATAAAGGATGCTGGCTGCATATGCACTGAGTGAAACCAGTTTTCCCCTAGTTCTTTAGACCTCTGACTTTGACTAGTTCTCTCCTGTGTAACTGTTAGCCTCAGAAGGGGGCTCATGGTGTCATCGATGATTGCTCTGTTTGTTCACACAGCTTTTGCTTGAAGGCATTTGGCATGATCAAAATTCTTTGACATTCTTAACTGCTCTTAATTTTTAAAAGCACAAAGTGGCCACATCAGTGAACAAACCTAATGGTTCCTCATTCTCTTTGACTTCCCATTGTGACCTCTCTATGGGTTTGTTCCATTTTCTTTCTTTTTTTTTTTTTCTGTGTCAGTTTGGCTCCCCACTCTCTTTCCCATGTCACACTGACTTCTCCATCTACTCCCAGAGTTTAATGGGTGGCATAGTGAAACCATTAATTTCAAGCAATCAGAATGTTTTTTTTCTGGCATTTCAGCCTTTTGAAACCATACCTTTGCAAGTATCCAAAATATTTGCCTACATCTACTTTACAACAGAATTTGAATGAAATAATAAATACATAGGATCAGATATAGCAGCTGGATTACCATTCCCATTTAGTAGCCTGCTAATACAGTAAACAGTGAAGAAGGAAGCATTAAAACTAAATGACAGTCTTTGCACAGAAATAAGTAAACTAGCTGAATACATTTAGGCTGGAAACTTAAAGTCCTAGGTTTTGGAGAGATGAAATTCTGGAACAGTCCGCCAGTGGAGATGATCATTTATAAAAACTCCAGTGGAATGGTGGTATGTAATTCCAGGAGATGTCCCCTGTAGTCCTATGTATCTGATTCTCCTGCTACTCTCTCATATCTCCTTGAAAACTCTCCTCCTTTTCAAGACTCAAAATAACAACCCAAACATACACAACTGTATCTTCTTTATCTCATATACATCGTAGAGTGTGGTCACTAACAAAAGTGATCACAATGTTTAGATACATCTATCTCAATCACTCTTAGCTTTTCTTTTTCTTTTCTAAGATTTAGATGGAGGCTTTTGGTATAATAATTATTCCTGTTCAGTCAAAAATCTAGTATATCTAGGGCACATAAATTATTCATTTTAAAATGTTTCTTTGCAGCCAGCCATATACTGCAATGGCATCTGTAAAATGCTGTTCTCCCAACCTTTGCAACTTATCTCTCAAAAACTTCAGTCAGCAATTACGAGATTTGTTGATTATACTCATCCTGGAATGCTTTGTAAGTGTTAAGAGTGTCATGCTAAAAGATTATATATAAATGAAAATTGGTGACAGCAAACCAAAGAGGTCATAGAGGAACTGAAATTTTAACATATATTAAATTTTCTTGTTACTGACAAGAATAAATATGCTTATTGAAAGTGTTGTGAATAGGAACAAAGAAGAGACATGCATGCCTGCTGTGGAACAAAAGCTTATTTGTCCTTATCAAACTGAAGACATTTTTCAAGTTCGTTCACCTATGAAATTATGACTCCAGAAACATGTCAAAGCCGGCCAGCCACATGATCTATGGAATAGGGCTTTTTGCAAATTGAAAGCTATCTGGAGGCATCTTTAGTTTATGCACCAGTGTTTTTCAAGTTAGAAAAAGGCAGCTCAGGGGACAGAGAATGTCACTAACTTGTGATGACTAGTTCATTCTTTTGTTCTTCTGTTACTCGAGTCCACTTCTCATGTGCACTTTTCTATGCAGCTGCTTTGTTATCCATTGAGTGGGAAATTGTAGCAGAATAAAATTAAATTTCATGGAATTTGAACATGAGTCAAAAATCAGTATTGGAAGACTTAAAAAAATAACCTAAGATATGTTCTTTAGGTAGTAAAAATCTAACTGATCCAAATATCAAATTAAATAGCCTTAGTTTATTCTGATTTTTTTCTTAGACTGGTCCTTTTGCTGTTCTTACATTTAAAGTAGGTATTACTGCTATACCTGGTTAAATATCAGACAAAATGTTTAAAACTGTATTATTTTACGTGTACTAAATATAAGAACAGATGCAGAAGTGAACTTCTTTAATTCTATTAATAATGCATTACTATAAACGAGTTCTAAAAAATAAACCTTCAAAAATTGCCCTAATGCACTGTGATATTGAACTTACAGTACTGGAATACATATATTTCCACAAAAATACATTATTGCAAGTACCAAGTGTCTTTCCTTTAATTAGTCTTCTCACTAATGGATGCAATTAAGCAAGCATAGTGACAAGGAACCAACCATAGTGACAAGGAACTACTGGCAAAGTTCACCTTTCAAGTCCACCAGGAACATATGGAGCACACATCAGAAGCCAGATTTTACAGTTATTAACTATGGGTACCCCTATATGGCAAAAAAAAAATATTATTTTGCATTTCTTCACCCCAAAGTGCATTCCCCCTTTTAGCAGTAATGTATTCAGAATAATTCAAGGGCAAAGAGGCATTTCAAACAGCATGAAGAGGTAGTCTCAGAAATAGTCTCCATAAAATGAAAAATTGGGTTCTGTAATTCCTGAATAGCCTTCCAGAGTCCATAGAGAGACTCTCAGTTTGATATGGGGACAGTCTGCCTACCTGATTACACACACTTCAGAACTCAGAGATGCTGAGCTCTCTCAGATCCAAGAGCTCGGGGTTTGGCATTCCCAAAATATCATCTGCTTTTCTGCTTCCTGGGCTGCTGGAGAGCTCAGGATGTGAGGAAGAGAGTGGAGAGAGTCCAGCGCAGGGCAACTAAGATGATTAAGGGAGTGGAGCATCTCCCTTATGAGGAAAGACTGAGGGAGCTGGGTCTCTACAGTTTGGAGAAGAGGAGATTGAGGGGTGACCTTATTAGTGTATATAAATATATAAAGGGGGAGTGTCACGAGGATGGAGCCAGGCTCTTCTCAGTGGCAAACAATGAAAGGACAAGGGGTAATGGGTACAAATTGGAGCACAAGAGGTTCCACTTAAACCTGAGAAGAAACTTCTTCTCAGTGAGGGTGACGGAACACTGGAACAGGCTGCCCAGGGAGGTTGTGGAATCTCCTTCTTTGGAGACATTCAAGACCCGCCTGGACACGTTCCTGTGTAACCTTATCTAGGTGTTCCTGCTCCGGCAGGGGGATTGGACTAGATGATCTTTTGAGGTCCCTTCCAATCTCTAACCTACTGTGATACTGTGATACTGTGAAGCTAGGCAGGCAAGCTGGCTAGAAACCAGGCAGATTATTGATGGTAAAGCTGACAGCCTTCTGCCAAAACCAAACCAATTTCTGCCAAATGTTTTGATTTGATCTTTCCAGGCACCCTCTAATGGAAAAGGATGATTTTTTAAAAGCTCTTTTGCTGTCTTGTTCTTGCCCTAAACAGAGAATTGAGGGAAACAATACACCATATCTTTGCTGAAAATTACACAATTCAGAGTAGCATGTGCTTTATTGTATTTCAAACTGTGTCAAAGCTTGGACACTCAAAGCCTTGTTACAAATAAATGATATTTTGCTTTGTCCACAGAATGAACCATATGCATACTATAAAACTGTGAGTGATGGCTTCTGTTTGAAGAAGGTATTCTTCCAAAATACAGGGACTTATATATATAATATAATATATATATATATAATATATATATAATACCTAACTCAAGTTACATGTGGTATTCTGTGCAAAGTAGGTATTAGGGAAAAAGAACACCTTATTGCTTGCCCCTCATTTATGAAATTCAAAAGATTCAAAATCATTCGCTGGGCATAGATTATTAGACGAACTACAAATTGGGATTCTGTATACTGAAAAGTACTGAAAATTCTTATTGTGGACTATGAAGTCCTCAACAGGATTAGAGAAAGCATCAGCATTCTGACTGCCTTGTGGCAATGCTCAGCCTCCTCTCAGGAGAGTCTTAGAAGCAGACATTTTAATGTTGTAAAACTATACAAAAGAGACATTTCCATAGGGGAAATGCTGCTGCAAAGGCTTACATTCTGTGCTATGATCTAAATGAAATAATGCAGTTTACCTTTATGATGTTCATTTATAAATCTTAGATTTATTTTAAGATTTCATATCAATTCTGCAAATCAGAAAACTGAGACACATGCATTTGTTGTTGCTTTCCTGAAAAAGTAGATCAGAAGCATGACTGGAATTAGAACGCAAATATCCTGAATAGTAGGCCAGTGCTTCTTGGATCACAGTAAATGCAGAAGACTAACACAGCACTGAACAGTAGTCCATTAAAGCCATCAAACACTACTCTTTAGCTTTAAATCTACATCTTTCCCTTTACTGAGCTTTGTGACTGTACAACTGAGATTTCTCTCTGGATCATTAAACTGCAGGCTGGAAACTGCAAGTCAGCAGATTCTGTAATTTCAAGTTTCTGAATGGACAAAAGCTCATTAGATATGTAAAGACAAAGCTGACAGCTAAATAAATGTAAGAAGAGTAAGACCTTGAAAAAAAAAAAGGAGAAAGAACTTTGGGCAAAGAAAACCATATATGAACTTCCAAAACCCTGAAGTGAATTAGAAGCACACATCCTACTGACACTCCTTCTTTGGTTTGAAACTCACATATCTAATTCGTTACCTCAGTCAGCAGCTCCTGAATTGGAAAAGATTAGGAGAAAAGAGTCTTCCTATTTAGCTTCATCTGAAAGGAATCTAGGTCAACCACTCTCAGACTGCTTTGTGATGTGAACCAAACTGTTCACACCAAGGACTGGGGACAATAGGGAGATCTGCTTCATCGTCATACTTCCAACTGGAAGTTATGTGCTGGTGCAGATACACGCTTTCTCTACCTATTCAGATCAAGCAGAAGCCTCATTAATGACACTGAAGGAAGAACCAGCTTCAGTCACTTTGAAGACACCTTGCATTAGTTCTTTCATTAGTAGCAGATCTGTTTGTGTAACACGATCACAGAATAGTAGAGGCTTGGAAGGGACCTCTGAAAGGTTCCAGTCTTCATCTGGTCCAACCCTCCTGCTCAAGCAGTTGCTCACAACTGTGTCCAAGTGGTTTTTGCTTATCACCAAGGATGGAGACTCCACAGCCTCTCTGGGCATCCTGTGCACTGCTCAGTCACACTCATTGTAAAACAGTGTTTCCTAATGTTCAGAGGAACCACCTGTATTTCAGTTTGCATCCATTGCCTCTGGTCCTGTCACTGGGCACCACTGGGAAGAGCCTGGCTCCAGCCTCTATGTCCCCTCCCTTAAGGTATATATATACATTAATAAGATCCCTCCAAGCCTTCTCTTCTGCAGGCTGAACAGTGCCAGCTCTCTCAGCCTTTCTTCATGGGAGAAATGCTCAGTCCCTTCATCATCTTTGTGGCCCTTCACTGGACCTTTTCCAGCCCATGTCTCTCTTGTACTGGGGAGGCCAGAACTGGACGCTGCACTCTAGGTGTGGCCTCACCAATGATGAATATAGGGGAAGAAAATGAATGACTGAAGAAATGAAAAAAGTAAAATAATGTCTTAGGTTGGTCTTTATTGCTAAGGGAAAGGCATTTTATCACTCCTCTGTTCTGAGGTAAATGAGTATATCTGAAAGCTACCATAATGCAGAATTTTCTTCTTTGATTTGCCTCTTAGGGCAAAGTAGAGACAAACCTAAAAATCAATCTTCAAACAGCAGAATGAAACAAATTTACGCCATGAACACTCAAACCTGGCAGCCTGTATTAAGTGAAATGACAGTTTCCAAGGTACCTCAGACCTCTAGACTGCCCAAGTCCATTTACCAAAGGTCACCTTAGCAACTTCAATTACATGGTGATAGCTTTGAAGCAGAACAAGGAATTTCCAGGTACATTTGTTCAGCACGCTGCAGGTAGATGTGGAGATATGCAAACTAGGTACACTGTAGTGTGTAGATCAGACACATCTCGAGTATTTGAACTGGACTCTTTTCATGTTTCCAGAAAAAAGCCTCTAGTCATCATGTTTCTACAGTGGGATTATTTATTACTACTATTCATATGACAGCTAGAGGGGTTTTTTCCATTATACTGGAAAAGTATTAATTTTGCTGAATTTATTATAAATTATACTAGCAATGAAGATCAGAATTTGACCCAATGAGGACATAATCTGTGATTTTTATATATATAAGCAACCATGAATAATTCTTATCTTTTGGGTATATTAGCTCTATACTTAATGCAAATTGATGTAAAATAAGATATTAAAAATAATTCTATGCCATCTTACAGATCTCTTTCAGCACACTATGTTTTCTAACTCTGAAACTATGGCACTTTAAGACACCGTCTCTTTCTGGGTAGATACTGCAATCTCTCATAAATTGTATGGCGTTCTTGTAATTTAAACCAGATTTGAATTCCTGTATTTAGAGGTCAGATGTTACTATATTAGCCTAATTCATTACAATGCCTCTAATACATTGAACTTGAGTATTTCCCAGGTTCTTTGTTCTGCTTAGGTGAAGTTCTCATTATGAAGTAATATTCACAAGAGGGATCAGCAATGAAATGAGACTAACAGCAAACAGTACTGTTTGAATGAACACAACACAAGAAGGTGAAATTATTTTTTTTTAGATGCTTAGGTTATAATATATTTCTTGTACTGGATCATTTTAAATATTTGTGACATTATGCTAACTGTTTTAGCTAAAGGTATTCTTGAGCTTCAAACTAGACCAAAGCTTCCAAATAAATGTTTGGTGCCTACAGGAATAAATCCACTACTTACTGGAGAAGAGATTCAACAGCCTCCTGTGTGCCCCTGTTTTCTAAGTAAATTTGTACCAGATGATGAGACACCCTCTGGCTTAGCAAATAATGTCTGGAAGTAAGCCAGGTGAGAGGATAAAAATGTACACAGGAACTTTTACTAACCCTTAACCTTGAAAAATCCATCATAAAGTTATCTAAATATAAAAAAAGCAGCAAACTTAGAAATTACAGAACATTATATTCCTTCATTAAGAATTTCATATTTTTTTATGTAATGGGCTCCAATCATAAGTATTCATATACTTTCCAAGCCATTCTTTTTGAGCTGGTTTATTTCTTTATACCCCTTATAAACCCTGGCTAAAGCATTATTATTTAGCTTTACAGGATCCACACATTGGATGAGGGAGTCTTGATAAGAAAAGTAAATACAAGTAAGCACGTTGATGAACTCCAGATGAGGAGTGTATCACATTTTATCTACATAAGAGCCAGTGGTGGAAAACATCCAGAAAAATCAGCTCAGCTATAAATTTCCTTAATCATAAGAATCAACATGCTGCTTCTTGTTATATTAATTCTTTTATCCTCTGAGAAATCACAGGTTATAGGGAGAAAAAAAAGGTGGTGGGGGAGAAAGAGAGATTGTATTTACCTGAAAATTCCTGGATTTGAGAATCTTCTACCTCGAACAACAACTCGTCATGAATCTGGGCAATTAACCTGAAACATTTCAGAGACTTTAGATAATGTAGGCAAGAAATTTCTAACAGTGTTTCCTATCCGTATCATCAACTAACTGCCATATGCACAACTGATATCTTAAAGTGAGAATAAATGTCCTAAGGAAATGAAAAATTCACTAATGGATTTAGAAGGATTGCCACTGCACACATTCTGAAAACATAAAGGTTGTAACCCCAAACTCTGCTTGCTAGCTTATAAATGTCATTCAGGGATCTGATGATGTGATAAGTTATTACTTAAAACCAACGTAATTTGAAGAAAAATGCAAGCAATTATAGAGACAGGCTATGTTTTGTTAATATACCTTGTTTTTTCAAGTTGAGCTGGAATAAATGTGGTTGGAAATGGGTGGTTTTACTAATGCAAATTAGGTCAATAGTAAGAGTACTTGGCTCACTGGTATGGCAATATTAACTCTTAGTTGGCCAGTGACTTGAGTCTTTTTCAGGAAATTAACTTTTCACTTAAGTGCAACGTAGGTGCCCTCATGGTGACAAACAAGTGGGTTGAAGAGTGAAAATGTAGGCACACATACACAACAAGATCTGTTGCCTCTGCTGTCAGGACAGATGCCTTCATAAGGGTGGAGTGTATAGCTGAAAGCATTAACATCTTGAAAGTCATGCAACTACATGGACCTGAGCTCTTCAGCTAGGGCTGTTTTGTAATGAATTTATACTGCTTATTTGTTTTTCACTTTGTCTGTATTAGAACTGTATCATAGGTCTCTTGCATACGGACTCTGACTTAACTGTTCATGCTTACAGGAAGAGCACCCTAAATTGTTGGTTTGGGTGCAAAAGTACTTTCACAATAGAAATAATGAATATATTTGATTGAATCAAGTCCACAGCAGAACAGATACAATCTAGCACATATAATCCCTAAATTCTCACTCAGGAAGGAAAAGTACTGCATATATGATTAGACGGTATTCCTACTAGGTATATTTTAATCTTTAATTATTGTTGCGAGTCTAAGTCATGAAAGTGTACCACCTATTTCCAAATTGCTTTGTAATTTGAATATAACATTTAAATTAAATACCCTTTGTCAACTTTTCTTATTACCCAGTAGTGATTCAAGTAAATAATGCTTTACAAATGGCTGAAACATCAATATGGTTATTGCTTATAACTTTTCACAGCTTTCAGGAAAATATCCTGAGATAGTTTCACACTGCCTTAAATTACAATGTGACATTGACTAACAGTGTGGTGAGCTCTAATAATAGATCTTAAATTATTAGTCACTTACAACACAGTCAGAAGCAGAGTGAAACAGATTAACATATTTTTAATAGGAAATTGGGACACAGGATACAAAAAGAAATAGATTAAAAGATCATGATCATCTTTAGCAAGAGAACACAGTTACATGACAAGATATAATTTCCAATGCAAGTAAATTAATTAAAGTAAGAGATTTATTATAATCATTCAAGTGACATGTAAAAAGATATAAATCAGAAATAACTGTGAACATTAAATATTAATAAACTGTGAATCAATTGAATAAGTGAAAATAATTACATTGATTAAACCAGTGCAATAGAAATGTGACTGGTTATTATTTTTACCAGAGTAGTCTTATGCCTTCAGTCAGGATTAGAGCACCACATATTCTGAATATTTGATAAGAAGAACTTACAATATACCTTAAACTTTTTATCATAAATTCATCAGGATTTAGGAATGGAGAAAAAAGAACTGGATTTTCAAAACCACCCAGCACTGGATCATCTGATCACTTCATCTGTGCGCTAAAAGTAAAACTGAGTTCAGGAGGAGCAGGGCTGGACCAGAGGTTGGTGCTACATTATGCAAGCAGAAGCAATGTGAACTGAACTCAAAATTGTGTCTGGACAGCACAATAGATGTGACACAACTCTACATGCCCCAGTTCACCTACTGAAAGCAACACAGCTCTTTTAGCTTGGTTCTCTGTCTGGGCTAAAGGATCCTGTTTCTCAATGCTTGTCACCCTGAACAGCACAGCCTAGCAGCTCGAGTGTTTTGCCAGTGAACTGAAGAACTGCACAGAGCTGCAGAATTACAGCTACCCCATCTTAAACATCTAGTGATTAATTTGAAGTTCAGAACAACATTCTGTCTGCTAAAATACAGAACTAGAAGTTAGCATTGATGGTTCTCTGTATAGGTCTGCTAAGCAATGTATATTCAGTTGGAAAATAGGGATAAGATTTATCTCAGAGATCTGAGATCTAAGAAATAAGTATTTCTAATACACTTCTGGTTTTGAAAGATATTACATAATTTTTAATTAGTGCTAAACATGACTTCCTAGCTTGATGCCAAGAAGTGGAATAGCAGACACTATTTCCTCCTTAATGTTCATCAGACAAGTTAGATTTTTTTCATCTCTTATCTCTTTTTCTTATTCATCTCACATCAACTTAATCCATTCTACTCCTGCAGATCTACAGTACAAGGCCACCTGTATTTTTTCAGGGTTATTAAAGTAATAATTCTTGCATGCATTACGCTGCCGCACAGAAGGAAGCATTCAATCTGGTATCAAGGCAGATAAAAGAAAGAATCAAAGCAATTTATACATTCAAATTTCATAGCTTTCCCCATTCCAGTGCATGCACCCACCCACCCACTGCACACCTTGAGTGAAAGAACTTTGAAAAAACCCCTGTACTTTCGCTTAACAGCTTAATTGAATCAGCTTCACTTTGAAGGAATATTGAAATAGCAAGCTCCTCTCATTATCTCTTGCTAAAACGTATGGTAAACTAGATTAGAAATTGCAAATCAGGCAGAAACTAGTATCTTCTTTGTTCTACAGATAATAAAAATGCCTTTGATTTACAAACTAATATTTTATTAACTATTTTTTGATTGCCTGCAAGTTAGGCATAATTTTTGATGAGTACACACATGATTTCTTTTACTGAGAAATATGACCTGTGCCTGAGTATGGTGTGTAATAGAGACACTGCCACAACCTGCACCTTCAAATGAAGGAGTACTTCTGTGATTGTCACCCTGAACATGGCTTTTGACAACAGTTCAGTGTGTCCAGTAGACAATATCCTTCTTAAACCATTGTGCTGCACTAAACAATTGTAAAGAATTTTTTATTCTCTTCCATGCTACATTCATCATTCTTCCAGTTTCCTGTGAATCAACGCGAAGGCTAAAACTTCTCAGGCCTTCAACGGATCCACAAAGTTATATATTACTGACATGTACGCCAAAACAAACTAAACTATCATCAAGATATTTTTTTCTCAAAGTGGGCCATATTGCCTCCTTATGTATACTATTTTCTAGCACCAGGCTTTGTTACTGTAAAGCAATATATTCCAGATCTGGACCTCTCTATTCTAATGTACAGAATTACAAGTTTTCCCATGACTACTGCAAATGCATTGCTGAGAAATAAGTACTCTATTGAACTGACTTCCACAAAACAGCTATTACCTTATTGGTGAGCAACTGCATTTCTTTACCATTAAAGGAAACATTTTGTTTAAACTGCAAACAAGAATGCTGTGGCATGACATGATGCAGACTCTATTGCAGGAATATTCCTACAACAGAAGGATAGAAGAGGCCAGTGAAAGATAGGAGGAAAAAGAAAAACAAAACCAAGATTGCTATTGTAGTGTTTCTCAGAAGCTGTTTTTTAATGGCCATGTGCAGTGTTTCAGGACATTAAAATGTGCCAAGAGATGCTCAAACTAATTAAATTCATGCTCCTTCTGTAGTCAAGGGACCAAGGTAGGCTCTGACTTAGATGTTCTGAATTGATAATCTGGAAAGCCCCAGCTCTCGTCATTGACATTGCTGGGGTACCACCTCCTAAAACAGCCACGTACATTGGATACGTGCAGGTAGACAGAGAATAGCTCTCTGTACATTTTTGTGAGACAAAAAATCATCTGTTTCAAAACTTAGACTCTTTCCCACAACCAAAGCAAGATGAAAATCTGCAGACAGACTCTCCTACTATAAAATCTTACACCTTCCTCCTAAAGCATCTGCTACTGGCCACACTCAGCGGTAATGGAGCAGATGGATGTTGGATCTGACTCTTCTTAGAAATCTCCATGTTCCCTACACTAAAACTGTATTAATTTTTTTCTGATGCTACTAATACTACCTGTTAATTAATTGTGTCAGTTTCCCCACAGAAGCACATAAATTCCAGTGGAAAGAATTACTATTAAGGTGTCATGTAACTAAGGAACAAGGTTACAATAATTCTGTAGTAACTTCATAGATTTTCAGGGTCCTTTTGAAGCTGTATCTATAATGATTTCTAATGCAGTGGTATGAAAACTATAGCATAACATATAACATGCTTGCATAGATGTTACCTGCATTAACTTGAAGCTACACCTTTCAGTGTTTCCATAATAAAGACCCAGATATTTTGACTTTTTAACATGTTAATAATAAAAATTCAGCTAACTTGTGAAATCTGTTTTCTCAGCAGCTGCATCGTAAAGAGCAGGAATCTGAACAGATGGTTAATTAAAGAGAATAGAATTTCTGCATGTACCCAAAGTGTCTTAAAACATACCAGTTTAAAAGGTGATCCACAAAAGGCTTTTCTAAATAACATATATTTATTTGTGTTGCATGACCCATATAAAGGAACACTGTAAAACCTGCTACATCATGCATGTCTATTTGGCTGTGATATTTAAGCATATCAAATATATTTAGCTCTTTCTATAAAGAATAAATCATGCTGACTTGTTCTGGCTCACTGTGCATGAAGTGTTCAGGTAACAGCTCACCATCTTGTGGATGTATGCAAAATACTGTTTGAATGCTCAAGGAAAGTAATGATTTTGCTAAGTCACAGCACACCTAGAAATGCAATGTTATCTGGTCACTTTGGGAAGCAGAGAGCTACATACTGGAATGAGACAGCAGCTATGGAGAGCTCGTACTCATTTCTGACATACCAATATGATCTAGAATATTTCCTTCTGCTACTGAAACAAAAGCATATGCCTTTGAAACAAAAATTTTATTCATCTCTCAAGTAGAATCCAAAGTTTTTATCTTTTCCTTGTGATTCTGTTTCTCCAGTATTAGGCTAAGGAGAAAAGTTGGCAAGAGTTAATCCTTTAGAGAAGTTCTGCAGCCATATACTGGGAATTGTGGGTACAGTTCCAGAGCAATAAGCATTTACTTGAAAATTCTGGATAACTGCTATACAGGAAACATAAGTAAAACCAACTATTTAATTCTTGAAGAAACAACAGCCATAAGATTTATGCCCAGAATTAAAGAAAATCCTCATACAGTAGCAGCACTAAGCATTACTGATTGTGTTTGGCTGAAGCTATGACTTAATTAAGAACTTGGTTTTATTAGTATGTCCTTTTATGTGAATCTGAGAGAAGATAAGCAATAAAGTACTAATGCTTGAATCCCTACACACCTTACAAAAATGCCTCTCGGTTCTAGTGTCAAAAACTGAAGCCACTTCCAATAAATGAATCATTTGTGATTTATCACATGAATTGTATGTGAACCATTCCGGGTCACATAACACAATGCTTGCTCCTGGGATGATCAGGGCTGTTTCTAATTTAGCTGTCTATACAAGCGAGCTGCATTTACAGTTCACCAACCCAGAAAATCATTGGGTTGATCAACGTGTTTGTTCCCTGAGGAAGACATATATAACTTCCAATATCCACTGCTATTGAAAAGCACCTGGGACCAAGAAAATAAGATCCTGCCTTTTCTTTTATTTGCTGGTGGCTCCTCCTTTTCAGATCATTCATTTATATCTGCCCTGTTGCTGAACCTGTCTCTTTAACTAGGCTCCGGACATGCTGGGAAGTATAGCTGTGTGCTTGTGGCACAGGTCCAGTGCTGAAGGAACAATAAATCGGTGAGAAAGCAGAATTGCTGGATTCACACCAAATTACTCAATAGCTCCGCAGACTTGTTAAATTTAATTTGCATGTTATTGGGATATTAACATCTTCAATGACTTTTTGAGAAGCCAGTGTAGCACCAGGTAGACTTTGGGTAACATCAGTGCAATTTCAGCTTACAAAGTGATATTTTTTACAGGAATTTCTTCAGGCAACAATTCTTTCACAATCTGCAAGCATCCTTTTCTCTTACCAAGTTTCTATGCATCTGTCACTGCAATGTTGTTTTAAACACTGAAAATAGCTACAACTGTCCACCTGAGTACACCAAGTACCTTTCCACTCTTGTCAATTCCATAAATCCTTCTTTCAGTTGCTACTGTATGCCTTGATCTTACTTCAGAAGTTTCTTTGCTATCATCTGTCTGCAGGAAACATGATGTGGAGGTTCTGAGAGTTGTATCAGACAGGTAAAAGCTGGCACTTGAATAATTTATGCCAGCAGCACATTTTCAGTAAGCAACCTGGCCATCAGCAGCAGAACAGCATCTTAATGAAAAGACCTAGGTAAAGTGGAAGATGTCTGAAGAAATCATTTTGATTACTCATCAGTGCTGCACAAAATGCAGAGATGTTAACACTGATGCCAACAGATAGCCCACACTAACATCAGTTCTTTATCATATGTATTGCTTAATGCAAATTATTTCCAAGTAACTGATTGACTTTTCCTTGTCAGCAGCATAAGTTGCTAGGCTGGCATTTGAATTAAAAGGTGAAGAAACATGAAGAGAAAAATGAGACTGCTATTTGATGAAACAGCCATTGACCAGTTGTAGTAGAATATGCTGCTTTGCCAAGAGGGCCTCTGCGATCAAATATCGTGAAAATGCAAATTGATTTCCTTCCCCTGACTTCCAAATGCAATAGCAAATGCACAAACCATACCTGAACAATCTACTGATGACTACTCATACAAAAACAAAGCTTCATATCGTTGGCTCAGAGCTTGCTCACAGCTGAACAGCTTACAGTGAATGAAAACTGAATGCTGTGCTGTCAGTGGAGAAGACTGCAAACATACCTGCAAGCTAACACTATAAGCTGTAAGGCTTTATGTAGAATTTACTTTATTATTTTCATTTAATTCCAAGTTAAGAAAGACAGAATGCTAAGTGTTAGCCACTGCTTGGCCACACCTAATAGGATACTGTCTCCCACTGTATGGTTCATAATAACTTCTAAAGCATATATAAAAGATATTTCTCTTTGATATGCTGTTCAAAGTGAAAACCCTGTTTCCAAAATTAGAACTTTTTATGGGAAAAAAGCCCCCAAACCTACAAGGGTGCAAAGACAGAAGAAAAGATAGCAATGTGCTATCTTTGGAATTAATATGATCTGATGTGATGATAATAGGAGATTGATTACATTTCTCATTTTGGAAGAGCTACCATGCATTCCTACAGTTACAACAGCAGCAATTATGCATTCACTTCCTTTTAGCAATATTTTTCAAAGCACTTTACAAAGGATGTTAGGATCATTACCCTGGCTTGACTGAAAAGAAAATCAAGAAACAGAACACTGGAAAAATAACTGACTGCGTGTCACCTGGCACACAACTGGAAACACAAATTTTTTCAAGTTTCAGTCTCTTGGCAAGACCACAGTGGTGCTTTCAAATGCCACTGTCCAACCAGGTGAGTGTTTGTGGAATTTATAGAGGCATTGACTGCGCTTTTCTGTCAAGCCTGGCTTGTAAGTACCTACTAAATATTACAGCAAGGAGCCATAAGTAACTATTAAAAGGCTGTCCTTTAGCAGAGCTATCCAGTTGTTAATGGCTGTCAGGAGTTCAAAACTCCAGATTAAAACAGTCTGTCTCTTTTAGATGACCTTGCAGTCTTGGTCTTTCCCAGGTGTGACATTCATAATAGGAATAAGAAGGACAGGCAGTGATACTTTTCTGATGTGTGGTGTAGCCAGTCCCCTATGCTTTCACAACACAAGAAAGTGCCTCCTTAGCCATTTGGTGACACTATATCTTTAAAAGAAATAGTTTTGAGAAAGAAAAACCCAAGTAAAATTTTCTGATGAGAGTAGAAAAAATTCAAAGGCTTTATCAGATGCAGCGCTAGTCATAAAAAACTTTGGCTTTCTCAGAATTACAACAAGCAGCTAGTTCTTGAACCTAAAGGTCTGGGTGCAAGGTAGGAACTAGAGAAGGGAGTATATTCTTTGCCCTCTCACCACCTCCACTAGCCTCCTTCACTAAAGACTTGCTTACTTGTCCCAGAAGGCGGCTACTCTATGACTAATCGAACTCAAAGTTACACCAGGCTACAGGTACCAGGTTCTGGTCTCTTCATTCAACTCAGGCACCAGAAAGAATTATAATCAGTGCAGAGAATCTCCCCCAAAAGGTACAGTGCCATATACTAGTACATCATCCAAAACTGAATGTATAAATGTATCATTGTCTGATATATATATGCAGTATCTCCAGCAAAGAACCACTTCCCAGATCAGATTTATACCAGTGGGCTACTTAACTTCTTTCTTTTCTTGGTTATAGTTCAACTGTATTTTGCTCAAAAAGCTGCATGAACATTTACGAGTGTTATTCAGAACAAGTTTTATTTTTGGCAAAGGAGTGACTCTACCTTCGAATTCAATGCATGCATTTTATATTTGTAATTAGAAATTCCATTTTGAAACATTGATCAAATAAGACAATGTTGTGCGCAAACGATAGACACACAAACACACACAGTGGGCTTATAGGGTTACATATTACACAAAATTGGAGAGTATGTTTGGAAGGCCAAACCCAGTTACTTTGTACTGACCTAAACTCCCACTGAAGTCTTGCATACATAACTGCTAAAGCTAAGTTTATGGGTGACAACAGAAACACTGATTCTCTGCACTACCTGCTATCTCTGCTTTCATCTGAACTTGTACTGCAAAAATCATGTTCTGCTAGACTGTTTACTGCAGCATTACAAAAGATGAGAAACCATTTGTTCAGGGTTTTTTATGCATGTTTAACTTCAAAGTTTCTTTCTATTGCAGCAAATAATAGTGCTCACTGACTTTCTGCACCATCCTCTCCATCCTTTGTAACGGGAAAAGTAGACTTCATTATTTCTGCTAGCGATACAAAAATCTTGAGGACATTCTGTGATCTTCAACTATGTGCAGTCACAACAGAAGGGAATGATGATGACCTAGCTTTTCTTTAGCAAAAGAAAACCATCTACAGAAGAATAAAACATGTTCATTTATTTTGCTTGAGCACTGGCTTCCTGATTCCTGTTTTTTTTCCCAGCCCATTGAATGTTCAATTCCCATTGTACAATGCACTCAAAATAGAGGAAGGATATGATCAGTGGGCTCGATTTCAAAGATGTAGAACTACCACTGAACTAGATCTGACTGAGTTTAAATGGCCCCAGGGCATTTCATCATCTTGGGATGGATTTACAGATCCAACCATTTAAGCACAAAGATATCTTTGAATGTATGAAACTATCCCACGAGTCCTTGCTTGTTAAAAGATTCAGAGGCACACGTGATATTTCTACAGCTGCTTAAAATGCCAGAAACATATCATTTCAACTAATTTTGTTTTAAAATCAAACAGTTTTGCAGTCATTCATTACTAACCTGGCAGTTAAAGTTGGAGAAATAACAACGGCGGTAAAAATCTCCACCATAGCCATTTTACAAAGATCAGCTGCAGATCCTAAGAAAGAAAGTGATCTGTTTTTAATTTAAAGCATGATAAAGGAAAATGTTCTTCTTGCAACTATGGCACAAGAATGAAAAACATCTGAAAATTCTGAATTATGAGAATCTGCAAATCTAGCAGACTCAACTAATGTAATATGTGAAATACCATAAGAGTAATAAATTAATTACATGTTAATTAAAACCAGAAAGAACAATACAAAATTATGTGTTAATTAAAGGTGACTTTGTCAGTGATGGCCAGGAGTTGAAAAATTGCTTTTCATAAGAAATGTCTGAAACTATTTAACTCTAGATTGCAATGAAAGTTTACCTACAAATCAATTAAAATTTAATGTCATAAAAGGTTAGAACATTGATTCAACACCACATTTCCATTTGGAAATTTAATTTTATGCTTTTTCGTATTTCCATGTGTATGCAATGTATATTCATTACATTACAGTGTTAAGAGCAGCGGTGCATAAAACAGTGTCATGTTATATAACAGATTACATATTTCTGGTGATCAAGAGGCAGAATGACTCTCCAGGCCTGCAGTTTGGTGAAGGCTCCTGTTCTGAGCCATGCAACAGGCATCCAATACATTTTACATAAAGATTTATCAGACAAAATACAGAAACAAGCCTTTAAGTAAGGATTGGAAGCCATAATTCTCCTTGTCCTATCAGATATCCTAAATGTACAAGACTACAGACACCTTTTTCACACACCGGATGGATTTTGTGTTCTTTCTTCCAAATGGTTCAACTTCCAGAGTAGGGATAAAGAACAGCCATGTGGGCAGATGATAAGGGCACTCTGCTGGGAGACAATTATAGAATAACAGAATATCTCAAGTTGGAAGGGACCCATAAACATCATCCACTCCAACTCCCTGCTCTTTGCAGGACTACCTGCAACTAAACCATATGACTAAGAGGGCTGTCAAGGTTCTCCTTGAACTCTGACAGGTTTCGTGCTGTGACCACGTGCTGTTTCCTGGGAAACCTCTTCCATTGACCAACCACCCTCCCAGTGAAGAACCTTTTCCTAATGTCCAATCTGAACTTCCCCTGATGTAGCTTCCCGACATTTCCTCATGCCCTATCGCTGGCCACCAGACGGACGACATCAGCACCTCTTCCTCTTCTTCCCTCCTTGAGGAATCATAGAATCACAGAATAGTTAGGGTTGGAAAGGGCCTTAAGATCATCTAGTTCCAACCCCCCTACCATGGGCAGGGACACCTCACACTAAACCATGTCATCCAAGGCTTTGTCCAACCTGGCTTTGAACACCACCATGGATGGAGTGTTCACACCTTCCTTGGGCAGCCTGTTCCAGTGCCTCGCCAGCCTTACAGTAAAGAACTTTCTCCTTACATCCAATCTAAACTTCCCCTGTTTAAGTTTTAAGCCATTACCCCTTGTCCTATCACTACAGTCCCTAATGAAGAGTCCCTCCCCAGCATCCTTATATGCCCCCTTATAGGAAGTTGTAGACTGCCATGAGGGGACCCCTTAAGTCTTCTCCAAGCTGATCAAACCAAGTGACCTCAGCCACTCCATTTAAGTCTTGCTCTCAAGACCTTTCCGCATTTTGGTGGCTCTCTTCTGGACGCACTCCAATAATTTGATGTCCTTCTTATGTTGAGGTGCACACAAAATTTAAGAGGGGGCCTGCACCAATGCAGTATCGGGTGGGGAAATCACCTCCCTTGACCGCCTATGCTGTACTTGATGTACCTCAAGACACAGCTGCCCTTTTGTCTAAGAGAGAGTATGTAAGAGATTGAGGAGATAGACTTAACACCGCTTCTTCATGGTTTTCTGTGACAAACTGCCTCCTCTAAATCTCATACTGAGACTGTTTTACTCATTAACTATATCAAGTGCAGATCCAGAACTGGTCATTGAGATGGCTGCATTTAGCTTCAAATACTTCTTTTGTTTTCCTGTTCAAATATGCAGTTAGGTAGAGCTGAATTATAAATGAAGAATATTATGCTGTATATTGGTAAAAACTATTGAACTGGGAAATATTAAAAAACATTAAGAAGCTATGAAAGAACTGTGGGAAACCCAGCTGTAGTAAGTTAAAATACAGACCTCTCAATATTGTCATGTACTGGAAGTTTTCTGCTATCAGTTGGCTGCTACTATAACCGCATGCAAACTGCTTAAAATAATTATACTATTTAATATAATTATAACCCACGTGTGATAAGTGCAGTTTAGTCATTGTGATAAAATGTTTTAACATAATTAAGAAAGTTTTTACAGTCTTAAAATATTATCCCATAGCTGAAATCCTGAAATTAAAAAGATTGTAGTCTTGAATGAAATTTTTAATAAAATTTGGGAATACTGAATAGTTTTTATTCCTTCCTTCATCACACCTTCTCACATTACATGTTTTGAATAACAGTTACAATGCTTTTCATCAGATTTGTCCTCCAGTATTGCTGGAACCAACACTGGAATAAGATAATCTTATTATTGTAGGTACTTGTGTTTCATAGACAGCCCTGTGACAGCTTTGCCTGAGCTCCAAGCTCTTTGGACAGATGGACATAAGCAAGTGCTGCTCAGAGGCCATGCAGCTTTATTAATGCTACACTGTGCACTCAGCAGGACTTGCTGTATTAGGTCCAGCATCATGCCTCTAACTGGAGAGGGCTGCTGGCCAGTTGGATGGAAACCCAGCTAGATGGAACACAAGTCTCTGGAGAAGGTGGGACAGGCATGCCCACTGTTACAAACATGTAAGCACTGCTGCAGATTTTATGAGGTTATTGTAAAATTTGACAGTAGGGTGGCTACTACAGCAAGTCAGCCTTCACTTGAGCACAGTGATTATTTAAGCAACAGGGTATCTACAAGAATTCTAGATCTGTACATATCCTTGCACGGTCAGTACTTAAATTCAATTACTAATTATAAAGAGATCAAACATGACAAATACTTAAGTCATTTTTTAAATGAAACATTAAAATGAATAGTATTGGGACAGGAAAAAAACAAACAATCCACATGATCCTCTCAAAAAGAAAATTCAAATCACTTTTTAAAAAGCACACCACCACCATGTCTAGAAATCACTTTTTACTTGCCTGTAAAATGTGCACTTCCAATATAAATTAATAAAAACCCTGTCAGCATCATCCAACTGAAGAAGTAATTCTTCCAAGCAGTGGCTTAGTAGGGATCTAAGTCTGACAGCTCAGTTTCTATATTTTTCTTTAGGTGGGTAAATGCTGTACAGGCATGAGGTCCAAGCTATTTAAAGAGCGTGTTAATGCGTTAGATCAACTAAAAGTTGAGCACTTTATGCTGACTTTCACATTTCCAACCTATACAGCAAATTTGCAATGTTTTCTGTGAAAAAAAAAACCCACCTTTTTTTCTTGTCCTCTACAAAACTAAGTTTGAATGGTCCTTAGAAAGAATGAGTTGGGTTTCAAAACTAATAATAACAATGTACAATTTTTGTAATGTTGATCATCTCTTAAACTAAAACTATCTGGCACAGTAGAAATTAGAACCTGTAGACAGCATAATCACAGAAACACTTTTGGAGTAACAATCAAAACGAGAAAGGAAAAAGTGTTAAGACAGCAATACATCTGAAACACTGAATTCCCGATATTCTCTCTATACATAGTATGTATATATACCTGTATTTACCTACCACAGAGCACTGTAGTGTATTAGAGCACTGATACTGTTATTATGACACTGTTTACTGGCAAATTCCAAGGTAAACAGAATATATCATTTAAACTTCTTTTTCCTAATAAAGCTCATGTCTCAATAGTTGAGTTTCATAGACTAGAGAGTATTCATTCTTTTGCGAGGATCACAGGAGTTGTCCACTAAAGGCAAGCACAGACAAAGAGGGACATAGGTGAGCAGGATTTTACCTTGAACGACAAAATTGACCGCCTGCCTCTCCGCTTGTGTGCGTAGCTTGTAATCCTGTGCATTGATATTAGCCAGTGGTCTTTTACGTCCCATGATGGAAACCACATAACCTTGTAGGATTTAAATAGAAATTACTATTCTTAGAGTGATTAAAATTAAATTTCATAAACTCATTTTAGAGATAATATCAATTTTTGTAATTATGTGCTGCCTGAGTCAATTTCATATTTTGCCCTCTGAAAATAAGCAGAACTTCTCTTATTTAAACTTTAAATGCTTATTGTATTTTTGGTCTAAGAATTACTTCATTCAGAGAATTGGTCCATGTTATACAGGGAAAACTCCTGTTCATTAAAGCTCTATTTTCATTAGGAACATCTACTGACATACCAGCAAACTCTCTCTGTGGGAGAAGAAACTATAAATACCTAGCAGAATTAGCTATCTATTAACAGCCATAATTAGAGCTTTCTATACAATGAATATTTTACTTGGGAATAGCGAAGAAGAATCAATTTGTAGAATAATTAAATCATTAATGAATATTTCCCAAAATTATCAAATAGGTTTTTGGGGAAAAAAAGAGTTACAACTTTTTCTTTATGTGGTGATTTCACATCCCTTTCACAGCCAAACTCCCTTAACTTTAGTGTTCTGGGGTTTTTAGTTTAAAAGAAATACATGAAAACACAGTTAAAGCTTCATGTTAGGCCTAGTGACCTATTTTGCCAAAACAACTATTTTGGAGGCAAGTGAAGGGAGTTCAGAGAGGAAATGAACTGGGAAGATCCTCATGTCAAAATCACAGAAAACTTTATCTCAGCTTATCTTCAAAACTAAATTTATTATTCTAAGAAAAATGAAAAAACATCCACATTAAAAATATATCTTTAAAAGATCTTTTGTTATACTACTATATACTATATACTACTACTACTATATAGTATATACTACTATATACTATATACTACTGTTTGCCTTGACTGTCCATGAATTGTGAATAGCTATCATGGAAGTTCAGACTGCCACCATCTCCTCTTTGTCAACCAAGGTATGAAGCACATATGGTAAGAAGACCTCTCCAAACTTCTCCATAACTGTTTGGAGACAATACTATGTGTTGTCTGGGTAGGGACAACACATACTCAGACTTATGTGCAGAGGATGAAGACGGTTCTGCTGAATTAATGCAGCTTTCTGTGAATTACTGTACTTCCAGGAGCACTGACACCAAAAGTACCAGTTTTGGAACAAAGAGATGAATTATCTGGAGGTTAGGACACTCTTTGGCAAATCAGTCTTCTCAATTCAACTAAGATTCGCCATGAAGAAGAGTATCTAAAGATGGAATTCTTGAAACATTGGATTCTCAGTAAAAAATAGATCTACTGTGATATCCTTATTCCTGTGTGGTGTGTCTGCACAACAGGATCACCCTCACAATACTCATCACTGACAAGCATCCCCAAATACCATCTTTCATATAATAGTGGCAAAGTATGGGCCTCTGGACAAAGATTAATCTGCAGATACATATTTCAATAAGGTCTTAATGTAGCCTTTTTTCAATATGTTGATAGTTACATAAAAAACAACTATAGTAACATATAAACTCTATATACACTAATAAAAATATCTTAATCACAAATAATATTATTCATACGCTTATCATGTCTACACAGAGCATCAAACATTCATAACATCTAAATAACATCAGTCAAGTGGGTGCTGGTCACCTTTGAACTGCAAATAAGTAAATATGTACCCTACAATGAGCTCACTAGGCTGGAATGTTTTTGTTGGGAAGTTGGAATCTGAGGTGGATTAACAAGAAAAATACTAAATAATGTCAACATGCTGCATGATCTTTTGAGCTTGTACAGCCAAACCAGTTTGTTCTTTTACATTCATAGGTAAGAAAATGGTTGATAGAAGGGGACAAGAGGAGCAGTAAGTACTAATTACGCAAGTGTGGTTTGATGTCAGTCAAGGACATTCGTTACGACACTCTTGTCTACTAAGCTCATAAACCACATTCTTTATCACAGGAGTATGGTTACTGAAATTCATCCACCTTTAAGAAAATAATGCTCTGTTATTTTAACTAGATCAGAATATATAATAAATGGATAATATTTTACTATATATGTTATGGTATCTATTTTCATGACTAGAAGCCTGTTATGTTTTTATCATGACATTCATCCATACAATGATGCAGTATTATAAAGCAAAGGTAGTATTTATTTCTACAAAATGTCTTAATACTGTATACCCTATTAGGAAACAAAAGAAACACATTTTGAGAGTTCTGCTAAGTAGCTTTTAAAAGACAGTATTTCAAGCATCTCTATTTTTCTCACCTCAAATTACCACATTCTTAGGATTCACTAAATATAAATGAATGTGTAGACTAACAATAGATAGGATGCAAGAAGAGTTTGCAGCTGCTGGCTCCAAGTAGCACTCTGCACACATCTGTCATCACAGATACCACCTGAACTTCAACAACATAATTCCGAATGATGGAAATAAAAAATATGTAAAAAAAAGAAAAAAGGATTTGTAAATTGGCTCTTTGACTAAATGGCTGAACTTCCGTGGTCCAGCAGCCATGTACAGAATTCATTAAGTAAAGGATTCTTTGGGCTTTTTTGTCTTGGAGTACATTATGTGTCAAAATGATGCAGCATAACTTGACATTAAGGAGAGTTCATTCTGAGAACAGATGTCTTATTCTGTTAGCATTTTTCTGAGAAAAGGCAGACAGGCTTAACCAGTTCTTTTATTCACCAAGAATCGACATTTCATCTTTTTTCTTGTCCTGTAACTGTCTAATTTGGGTCAAGCTGAATCTTTATTTTCACTGCTGTCAGACAGTACTGATCTGTAAACAAAAATACGTTTACAGGTTTTGGACTACCTTTATTTCGGCATTGTTCAATGGTTCTCTTTGTAAATTCATGTACTTTCCTGTATTTTTGCATAAAACTCTCTATAAATTGACTGGCTTGAAGAGGAGTAATTCCCAGGCAGTCAGCAAGACGTTCTTTACCTGGTGGTGAAGAAATGACCTTTATTATGCAATAAAGCAGAATGGAAATACACTAAATACAATAGCACTACTACATTCACAATTACTGGAATTAGTTAACTTTATTTACCTCTGTAAAAGGGGACAGATTTGATACACTACAATCACATTTTAACAAATAAATATTTAACTTTGAGCTTGAATGTTTTACTGCAGTTACTGGATTAAGAACATACCCCATAAGAAGTATATAAGAAGTATGTAATTAAGAAATTCCTAATTATAATTTATACCTACAATGTAGTTGAAATATCTTTTTTCATAGAATAACTGTTGCTTTAAGTATCATTTTATTAGTTCAGTGTTGAAATCTGCAAACTTTGAGGAGTAGAACAAAGAATTTTAAAACCATCTTAAACACAAATGTGAATGAAGATCTAAAAAAGAATGGAGATGTGGCTGGTTCAGTTTAGCTAGAACCTTTGAATTTGTTGTAAAAGCCACAGGAAACTTAACTGCTGAAGCAATTATAACCTGATACTAGAAAGGCCATTAGAAGTCTTGAGTCCCACAGATTTCAAATAGTCATGAGCTCCTCAATGTCTGTAAAAATCTGAGTCCAAGTTGTGAAATAAAAGGGTTGGAAAAATAAAAGAAAAAAACAAAACTAAAACAAAACAGAAAAAGCATTTCAACAGAGAGAAAAAGGATATAGGTGCAAAATATATATTATGCTGGATCTAAGAGCATTTACAAGATAAGGTGGAAGAAAGCTTTCCAGAGTGTGAAAATATAAACTAAGAGCTACAGTTCAAATACATTTATAAACCAAACAGTTCCAGTAAAAATAAACCATACATCAACATTTGTCAGATGATGGTTGAAAGACAGATATATCCATGTCAGCTGCACAGCAATGCAAACCCAGCACTGTGCTTGCGAATAACCTAAGTGGAAAAGCAATGTCTCAAGGCACCAAAGGCACAGAATAGCTATTGTCACAGTAATACTGTCAAGCAAAATTATCTCGTGTTTTTTTAGAGAGAAGATTTCAGCCACCTAAATACCATCACTGTCAGTCTGATGTGCATTTTGGAACAATTCTGTAGCATTTTGTTCTCAGTCATGCCAGGATCTGCACTAAGCTGCAGGAACACCAGTCAAGGTGCTAGAAGAAGAAATTCATTAGACATCCACAATGACTCTTGCTGAGTTATTATAGGTCTGTAATTTTATTTGACATCTAATTAATTTGGGTTTTCTTCCTGGGCCAACAGAGGACAAATCTACCTGCTAAAGCACATGTTAACAGTGAGGAGACTGCTACAGCTTCCTTAGGGAACTGTAACATCTAAGTTTGCTCATGTTAGCCATTTAAAGAACTATCGATATATAGAACAAGGTACTGCATAATATAGTAGGAAAATTAAGCTACAATATCAGTAAGGAAGTCTGAACTATTCCAAGGAAATGCAGACGCTGGGAAGAAAAAAAAGGAGAGGCAAGTGTGTCAGATCCTGTTTCACAATGCAGGAGCACAGGCAGGCCATGCGAAGCAATGCTCAGGGGAGGACTGCAGCTTCCCTCAGCACTCTCTTAGAGTTATCTGTGCCAGGGGAATTGTTAGCGGCAGCTTACGAGTTTTAGTGTTCTCCATTCTGTAACATCATCTTTCAAAACTGAAAATACCATTAGCTTTCCATTTAAACACGATGATATCCCTCTGTGTCGATTCAGGGCTCAAACATACTGCCATTGAATTGAATTAATTCCTTATTTTACAGGTGTTTAAGTGCTCTGTGCTTTAGTTCTACATGATGACTGTGGCAGAAGCAGGCAAACTGAATTGCTTCAAATCCAGCAAAAGACAGTAATACTGTCATCCCTCTCAAAAGCTGGTGCTTTATTAAAGTACCAACTCCTAGACATAATGAGACTCTTCTTCCTTTATTATACTACTTTCTATCCCCCAGGATTATAGAAAAGACCTTGAATATATAAACCAAGTATAACCTAAAGCTAAGAAAAGAAAAAGAAAAAAAAAAAGATCCCTATTTACTACATGAAAGGTTTTCATTAACTCCTGTAAGCATAATACATATATACAGGCAAGCTCCTCAAGGAATGTGTCTGTTTTTTGCAACCCCAAAAGAAGTGAAATAAATATTATTCACACTCTTCAGTTGCATCAAAATGGCTTCTTAATGAAAAGTTAGCCATCTTTGAAAGGAGACAAATTGTGGGTGGAATTCAGCCCATCAGCTTCAGGTATCTAACAAGAAATAGTTTAATGATATCACTCCATGTTTTGTCTTAACTAGGATCAAATCACACTGCTAATGAGCTGAAGCATTGAGGGGCTTTACCTGCCCTCACTTGAGAGGGAGACAAAGCACAAACAAGTAAATGGATACTTAAATGAAGCACTGCTGCACTGAAATGTTTAGTGCCTGGTGCAGAGCAATTGAGGGACTGCTAATACTCTGCTTAATCTAATCATCTAAATTCTCCATAGTATAAGTAAACAGACACAGTCTCTATTGAGGAGGGCTCTAGACCCAGTAACTGAGGCATTGCCTTTTCTCCACTGAAAATTCAGCTGGTGGAGATTCAGTCTGATAAATTCAGGTGTCTGCCTGTTCCAACCACAGTGAAAGGAACAGATAGGAAATGTGTAGCATCTGCATGGACCAAGGGCCAGGGTTGTACTGCCTTGCATTTTGTGAAGTACTTTAGTGAATAAAAAATTCAGGCTGGAAATGGGAGACTTGATTCCAGTCTCAGCATGGGAAGGTCTGAATTTACATTGCAGGAAGCCAGCAATGGGCTTTTGAAATCTAGATGTTAAACACAGATGTTTAAAATGCCATACAGTATAATGTAAAAATGCAAGTGTGTGTATAAATATTTTTATTCTAATATGCAAGTATATAGTCTACACACACATTTCACATAAAACAGATATTCTGGAGAACTGAAATTGAAGTGTTTTTCTCCTTTTTCCAGCTGAATGTCCTAAACAATAAATTGAATGCTCTTGGCCAGCTCTGCCTTTGGTTCAAGCACTATTGATGACTCACTGCAAAGAGACAGTTTAGAAAGCATTCTCACTCAGGAACCCAAATGTAGTTTTAAGTGCTTCCAAGTTAAATAAGCCTGCATCCTAGGGCTCTCATTTCCTAAACGAGTTTTCCAAATACGCATCTTCTTTAGGGCTTTTGGATTTCTCCAGAAGACCTACATAAAAGTTTAGTTAGCTGCTCACTAGAACAACTTCACAAGTGCATGTAGGCTGATGAGACACATACAGCTGTGTTCCCAGAAAAGGTATGAAGCACAGGGAGAGCCGGGCATCATTTAAGAAATGGCAGGTAGTTTTGGAAAGTACGCAGAATGTCCTGACTTATCTAGGACCTGGGCAGGACTTAGGCACAATGGGTAACTACGGACTTTTGCAGCTTTTTTGCAGTTGTGAAGAAATGGCAGCAAACATTCAGATCTAAAGTGAGAAAACACTTTCATATTTTGAGAGTCATAGAGTACTCTCACAGTTGCCCAGGGAGGTTGTCGAGTCTCCATACTTGAAGACAATTCAAAAGCTCTCAATACACGGTGCTGGGCTCTAGATGTCCCTGCTTGAGCAGGGGGCTGGATTTGATGACCTCCAGTGATCTCTTCCAACCTCAGCCATCTGTGATTCTATAGATGTGTTTTTAGACAATATTAGAGTACTTCTAATTTCACTGCAGTCATTCTCATCTCTGTCTATACACTGACAGAAAGCAAAGTCCACTCAAACTCATCTTTGAGAAAGACAAATGCTTCAGTTACATCAGCAGCAAATCAATGCAACATCAGAGCAATCTTTGCATATGGCAATGTGGCTGTATTAATTTGATAATTTTGATAGTGGCTAGATCATTTAATTGATTAATTATTAATTTTATCAATTATTTAATCCTTGGTAAACATAAAAATTTAATACTTGTCAAACTTCTATTCACCTTTAGAAATTCAGTCTACTTATATAAATTATGTATGATGTACAAATCTACTGTAGCAGCTTACCTGCTCCATACACCACTGAGTAAACTGTACGCTTTGCTTGCTCTCTATCAGCGTGTTGCACTTGGTCACTTGGAATCCCCTTCCTAAACAAAGAAACAAACAAACAAACCCTATACATTTTCAGTTAAAACTAATTTCTTATCCCCACAGAAAATATATTTAAAGTCAATAACTACTTAATAACTACAGACTTGTAAGATATGATCAGAAGCACTTAAGGACTGTTTCCTTCAGCCAGGAATGCACAATTTCTCCACAAATTTTGGTGATGATAGTCCACAGTAAATGAAGCTATTCTAATCTTAATCTTCTTTTCTTCTAAATCAAATTCTGGGCTGGGAAAATCCTACTGCTATATTATTAGTTCTTTAGGATGAAAAGGATTCACTATTGACCCATGAAAAAAATTAAATCTTTCCAGGAACAGCATTTCTTCTCTTTCCAGCAACAGCATTTCTTCAAGACATGATGTATATAGAGAATCAAAGTGTATGTCTGACCCAAAGCTTATTTAAACAAATGTTTCACTAACAGGAATATCTAACCTTTTATCAAGAATAATGATTGACAAAAGCATGCACTGAATCTCTCCAGATACCTTACAGAGCTCCACAATAAGGATGCTTCATAAAACAGCAACAAAAATCAACTTCATAAAACAACTGCTTTTTAACTAAAGAGTGTAGCTAGTTTACTCCCACCAAAGTATTAACCTTCCTGGTTCCCATTCACAACTAACTGATGTAAACAGTCCTACAAAATGGGTGATGGATTTAGCAATTTGCAAATAAAAAGCTAAGACTCTGCAATCATCAAGTATGTGCCATCTATGCTTTTCTTTATCCAAACGTAGCTTCAGAAAGAATGACAACATTATTGTGACAATTCAAACACATTTGGTTTAAATGGAAGTGCACTGGGGGAAATCTCAATCACCTACTCATACTCTGAAAATAACTACCCACATAAATTGTATTTAGAACTTAGAGATCAATTGCTGTAAGAGATACTTGAGGATATACACACAATTTGCGAGTAAGCCTGTTCATGATTATTTGACTGCATTTTTAAAAGCAAAGTTTGCTATGCTTTGTTATGAGAGTGTTTGGCTATGAAAGATGTTTTATCATGTAAGTCTGGATGACAAGCTTTGAGAAAATGGCACATTTCTGTCTGTCTTCTTGCAGAAGAGCCTTGCACCATTACTATGCTATTCAAGCACCTAGAATATCAAGAACCACAAATTTTTGCTTGCCTGGCCCATACTGGAATTTTAGCCAAACCTATGCACAGTGCCAGTAAAACTAGGCACTCTGAATTATAAACAGGTAGACCTTGAGTGCAATCAGATCTGAGCAACTCCTTATTGCAGAACAGATTTTTTTTTAAGGGAAAAATAAAATTTAATGTTATTTCAAACCTTCATTGGGCAAAAGGTTTTTGGCTAAAGATAAAATAGACTTTGCATTGCTCATTTTAGGCTGAGAAACATGAAGAACTGGATAATCTAATACATAGTGTTTTCTATCTGCAATGAAGACTTTTCACACTGAAGTCAATCATTCTGATGGCTGGAGACTCTTATAATTTTTCTTCTTAGTTATGGTAGGTCAAAAATTCATGGGTCTTTTGAATAAAGCAGGTTGAGATTCCCAAATGCATCTGAATAAGAGGACAAAGTGGCAATTGGAGCTAATAAGTGCAGCATTAGGAAACTAGACATCATTAAGGATTTCCTGAAGCAACCTCTGGCAGAAAGTCCACAGGAGTTTCCTGAAGAACCCAGCTTTAAGCTACACACACACTTGAGAAAGCATCTATCTAGAACCAGGAGGGAAAACAGACTCGAATAAGACAGCAGATCTTACCTGAGACCGTCTCTGTGATTAATAACCAAGACTAAAGAATGATGAAACTAGGGAGACAGTACAAAATGTAATACTGCTTTCATAATACTGCATAATTTGAAGTAGAGGCCTGGAGAAAGCAAGAGGTAGCAGGACAGCAATAGTCAGTGAAGTAAGATTCAAACTGTGAGGCTAGAGACAACTGATAGCCAAGGGATCAGCAGGAGGATGAACTGCTGCTCACATCTCTCCGAAAGAAGAGCTACAATGGAAAGAACATAGTGGGTAAGAAGTCATATAGATCTTTAGAGGAATATACATTCTTACCATGTCATGTTACTGAGGAAGAAGCAAGATGGGAGTCTTTCTGGGAGGGACCAGTGGTTCTAGAGAAGCTTTAACAGTGAAAGAAGACACTAGAACTTGGTTATGTGTACAGCGAGACTCATGGCTATGATATTAAGGATGAACTTGCATTATCCAACCTTCCACTTGACAGGGCTGACTTGGATAAACAGAAATAGACTTCTTGCTGCAATCACGATAGGCAGCGTCAGGAGAGGATCTTATGTTTCCATAGGAAGCAATCACAAGAAAACTTTGACTAACACAATTATCAGTGCAGATGCACACACATCATGAGATCATGGCAATCACATCAGTCACTCAGCATTTCCTGACCTTTGGTAGTCATGAAATACATCAGAAGCAATTAAAAGTTCAGATCTTTATGTCAAATAATTCTTCTAATATAACACTTAAAACAAAATGGTCAGCCAACACGTCCCAGTGTGTCAGAGTGGGAAATATGAGCACTTGGCAGAAAGGCATTACATCTAGCACTCTATATTGGTAAATTTATGTACCACATTCAAGAATCTGGAATAATAAGGTATGAAATTGCCATATAAATCACAAATGCTTGAGCAAAGAGAAGTCATTAATCAAAACTATTGCTTTTTGTTTCCAATGATGAAAATGATTTTTCAGTTTCTATTGACAATGATTGTTTTCTACCTAGGATGCTTGACGCCTTCTGTAATACAGAGTGGCATCCCTGCAGTTTGAGATGAAGACTACTTATTCCTTTGAATAACAAAATGGGGGAAGTGGGGAGGGGGGGCAATTTCCCAGAAATGCAGCAGCCATTTTAGAAACCCTCAGTGAGGCTTCTTGTTCAGCCTGTTTTCTCTACAAACAAAGCTGTATTTGTGATAATTAACTTGTTTTAATGTGTACCATAAGAACCTATATAAATTAAAAACCTTTAGTCTGGCTTTGGACTCATCATGAAATACCATGATACTGAAAAGGAGACGGTGTTATCTGCCTACTTGTGTAAGAAATTTCTGAGGTACAGTCACTAAGCAAGCTATGAAAGGCATGAAAATACTTACTGCTGAATTCTGGTATGATGTAAAATAGATCTATAGTACAGATGCACTGTTTCCAAATAAACTTGAACCTGAAAAAGGAAGCCTTAGCTGCTGGGCCCAGACAGTGACACCTAGGCAGATTTCATCTCACCCAATACTGTATGCACATCTGGACGGAACTGGATGAAAGCTTATATGGTGCAATAGAAATTGATGCAAAAAAAGGGTTCAAGGGAAGAAAGAATTTGCTGTGGTTCTGCTGTGGAAATAGCATGATTTCTGAAGTCCTGCAGGAAATACATATGCAGTTATTAGTTCTAACATGAAAAGTATTTTTCCACTTTCTGATATCCTTCTCATTAGTTTTTCAAATACACTGTTCAAGTTTGTAATCAATATAATCATCATCCTCAAATCCCTCCTGACTTGCCATCTCTAAATGTGCAATATTTCACCTCCTACATTCTTGCCCTTGCCTGCCTACTTGTCTCAGTCTACTTCCACATCTCTAATTTGTTTTCCCTTTACCTTTCTTCATTTAGTATTGCTTTGCAGGTACTTTGCTTTATAGTACTTTACTCGATACACATCTATTAGGTGGAATAAAGAACGGACTTCAGAGCTGGAAGTCATGTTAAAATTAAGAAATCTCATTACTCCTGGAAGGAATTAGCAGAGCTAAACAATCTGGAAAGGCCTGTGAGGAAAGCAAAACAACTTAGAGCCAAAAACTGCAGAGAATCTGACTAAGACAGTGAGAGTAGAGATATATAAAATCTTTAAAAAGGTGGTTCTACTAAGAACTGGGATGGATGCCTAAAAGGGAACAGCTGCCTAATTCTTAGAGTGAAAAAAAAGGGAAAAAACATTTGTAGCAAAACAGCGATGAAAGATGAAATTCTTAGTAAAACCATACAGTGCGGTATGAAACCTAAGAACAAGCATATGGAGCTTGTAACTTTTTCAGAGGTAATATCTTGATTTTTTTCCACAATTTCTCCAAAATAAACTATACATTTTCATATAGTAATGAGGTCTAATGGACATCTCAAAGATGTTTCTGTTTAAGTCTTAAGTCTTTAAAACATATGAATACCAAAATTCTTTACACCCAAGAAATACAGCAATCATATCTGTAATTGAAAAGCTTACTCTAAACTGGAATAACACATTTAATAGAGTTCTTGGTGGATTTGTTTTAAACTGCACAGAATATAAAAAAGAAAGAAAGAACACAAATTGTAGGACACAGAAATGAGCACACGCAGCATAAAGTACAAAAACTATTAAAAAAAAAGGAAAAGGCTGTAAGAGCCGCATAAGGTTTGAGCAATGCCAAACTAAAGCTTTGAGAACAGGTAGAAATGGAAGGAAATCAGTCTTGAAAGAGTGCGATAAGACATTTCAGCATTTCTGGGAAATGTTGTATGGTGACGGAAGTCCTCTGTTTATGTACAGGAAGAGGCAGAACAAACTTCTCAAACACAATATCTGGCAGTCTTGCATTGCCTTGATCTGCACTACATCTCAGCCAAGCTAAGCTCAGTCATAATAGCCACAAAGCTCTTGGCTGTTCTCCTGCATATGCCAATTAATCCAGGTCCTAGCTGTGAATTGTTGCTGTGGGAAATGAGATGGACTGCCGTTAAACTCACTTTAAACATGGTCATTAATGTCCAATAAATGAGTGGATATATGAGTGAATACACATTTGTTCACCCAATTGCTTTTACAGCTTTTTTTAATTTCATCAGTGAACTATATAAATCTCTCACTTTTAATCACTTGTTACTATTTAAGGGCTGATGAGGGTTGTATATTTTCTAACTTTGTGTCTGGAACTTTGTGTTGGCATATGAA